TCAAGCCACATGCCCCTCATAAACTCGGCCTTGGGATGATGTTGATCTGCAAGGAAATTGACAATCTTGATCGCATCTTCCCTCAAGACGTGCTCAATCCGAGGCGTCCTCGTTCTGGGAGTTTGTGCCAAAGCTATTCTTTCCTCATTCTGCTGGCAGATTTCCACATATGACAACGCGTCTTGCGCCCATGTCAGCTGGGTGTCAGGGTCATTGCAGTTGAGCACAGCGGCTCTTGCAGCTTCCAGAGTAGCCTCTTTCTGTTCATCGGTCGGGGGTATGTTGGGAGGGGGGTTGCGAAGCACAGGAAATGGAGAGAAGTTCGGCTGTTCCGAAGGATCCATCGAGGTCGATCTGGGAGGGAAATAGTTATCCTGGCTGTATGATTGCGCTTGGTTGTTCTTGGTCACTCTTTGATCATATCCTTGCATATTTGTATGAGGGGCTTGTGGCGGCGCCCAGAGGTGTGTGCCTGGTTGCATGTAATCGGCAGATTGCGGAGAGTAGGCTGATCCTGAATATGCAGAATTGGCGGAGTTGGGATTTGAGGCAGCCTGTTCCATCTGAGCCACATTTTGTTGTATATTGTTTGGTAGTTCATGTACTCTGTAGCCGTCAGCAGGGGGAGCCGGGACATGAGTCCAGTAATGCATACCTGTTAGGGGTTGGTTGGATTAGTTCTGGCATGTAGTAGGAATCATCTCCTCCAGGGACAAAAGTGGCCCCCGTATGGTAGCTCATGGTGACAATCGGGAGGGGATCTTTGGTACGATTCTGTGTTTGGGGTTGCTTAGCTGAATCTCAGCTCCGAGGTGCCTGATGTTCCTGAGCACCAGGGAGCTCTCAGACTATGTTTTTTTTTGAGAGGTAAGAGATCTTGATCCGTCCCGCACCCACCGAGGAAGGGGAGGGATGATGATATGGTCTTCCGGATCTCAGGAGATTGCCCTGGTGCTTACGCAGGCAGGGTGAATGTTGGAATCCTTAGCCACAAAGGTGGGGGTCAGAAGGAGGCAGATCGATGGAGCACAATTTCCCGATGCTGCGCTTTGTATACATGTCTTGAAGGTACAAGTAGTAGGAAGGCAAATGAGCAATATGAATCTGGCTTGGTTGGCCGCGTCAACCAAAGCCGGGCATTGTCAAGTGCGCTTGCAGAGTTAGTACGAGTGATGATGGAATATTAGAAGGGCGCAGGCGAGGCGAGGCTGCGGTAATTGGCACAACCAACTGGTTGATGGGATGCGAGTTGAGGGGCCAGCTTGCCAGAATTATTACCTGTGATGCCGAGGAAGCCCAGGCACTGCAGGGCACCGGCCACTTAGCTAAGAGGGGCACTGGGTGGCACCCGAGTGGGAATGAGCCCCCAGACTGAGGACGAGGCGTCTACTTGTAGGTAAATGACAAGTAGGGCTAATGACGACTAGCGGGTTGGGTCCGCTCGCTAGGCATGGAAGATCAGTCGCAGCTCTGCACAGCCACAACCTGTGATGCCCACAATCCATTTTTGGCGGTCATACCAGCACCCCTACCATTTGCACCATGGGGCCATGACTTCTGTATACAACGGAAACGGTTTGCCTAATTCGCGTCCAATGAGATGACATTATCACCGCCGCTACAGATGGCTGCGCATATCTATCGTACTCTTTGATGAGGCCGTTGGAACCCGTTCAAAAGCGTCAAAAACTGCGATCGCTCCGGACAATACGACCGCGCGTCGAATACGCGTATATTTTTGTCAAGCTGAAAATGCCCTGCAGCCTGACCACCCGCCAACCGAGACTAGACGGCGCCTACGACCCGTACCTCGACAGAGCGATGCACTGAAAGAGTCAGCCAACATGGAGCCTACCCAAGCTAATTTCTGCCACCCTTACCAACCTTATTCCATTCAGCTAGACTTTATGAAAGAGCTCTATCGCTGCATAGAGGAGAAGAAAGTGGGTATCTTCGAGTCTCCAACAGGCACAGGCAAGTCGTTGAGCTTGATATGTGGTGCTTTGACTTGGCTTCGAGACCACGAACGCCTAGCACTGCAAGGTCAGACGGACGGGAGTGAGCCACTCGATTGGCTTTTGGAGGCTGAGAAGTCTGCCCAGCGCCGTGAACTGCTGCTTGAGCGTGAGGAATTCGAGCTGAAGCTTGCCAAGATCCGTGAAGAAGAGACATCTCGCCGACAGAGACGATACAACCTGAAAGCTTCAAAGAAGCCTCGAACTAAGGCTGCAAAAGTCGAAGACAAAGCTACAGACGAGGAAGAGTTTATCCTGGAAGACTACGAGAGCGATAGAGAAGAGAGTAAAGCTTTCAACAGCTCAGCCACCAGTTTTTCTAGCTCAACTCAAGCTCTGCTAGACAAATTACAAGGACCCGCGAAAACTGATGTTGAAGAACAAGAAAAAGATCGACTTAAGATCATCTTTTGCTCACGCACTCACTCCCAGCTTACTCAGTTTGTGAATGAACTGCGTCGTGTCAAGCCTCCCTCCTCAATTCCTCTAGAGGCTGGGGGTATCTTTCAGAAGTCTTCGCTCGAAGAAGGGGTGAAACACCTTGCGCTAGGCTCACGGAAAAACTTGTGCATCAATCCTAAAGTTGCAGGCTTATCGTCGACGAATGCGATCAATGAGCAATGCCTCGAACTCCAGAAAGCCGCCATCCCCAAGGACAAAAAATGTCCCTATATCCCCGCAAGGGAGGATAAATCAAAGATCGAGGCTTTTCGAGACAGGGTTGTTGCAGAGATACGAGACATCGAAGATACGGGTCATCTAGGACGAGAGATGGAACTCTGTCCCTACTATGCTTCGCGCGCAGCGATAAGCATGAGCGAGGTGCTCACTTTGCCCTATCCTCTACTGCTCCAGAAGTCCGCTCGAGAAGCCTTGGGAGTCTCGGTCAAAGAAAATGTTGTGATTATTGACGAGGCTCACAATCTGATGGATGCCATTGCGGACACCTTCTCTATCTCACTGCGTCTCAGTCAGCTAGAACAATGCGTTCGGCAGGTTACTGCGTACGCATCTCGATTCAAGAATCGCTTGAGAGGGAAAAATCGCGTATATGTTATGCAAGTGATACGGTTGCTGAACTCGATGACCGACTGTCTGCGGGAGACCACGCAGAAATTGACCTCATCCCAGGCAACTATAACAGCTGCGCAATTGATGTCGGGGAAAGGAGTCGATCAGATCAAACCGCACAAACTTTTACAATACCTGCACGAAAGCAAACTGTGCCACAAAGTTGAGGGATACTGTGAAGTACGACAGGATCACACTGATTCGAATCAGGGCAAAGGTGTTCTGATGCAGTTTCAGAACTTCCTTGTGGTATTGATGAACCAAGATGATGAGGGACGATTTTTTACAAGCCGACAAGATGACGACGTCGTCGTTCACTACACGCTGCTCGACCCGAGAGAGCACTTCCGACAAATAGTCCAAGATGCCAGGGCCGTCATTCTGGCTGGCGGGACCATGTCCCCAATGTCCGACTATTCTGATTATCTCTTCTCATATCTCGCTAGGGATAGACTTCGAACTTTCAGCTTTGGTCATATTATCCCCGCTTCCCATTTATTCGCTCAGGCGGTTGAGAAGGGACCCTCGGGTGTTGAGTTCGATTTCAGGTACGAAATGCGTGCCTCTGAAACGATGATTCTTGAACTGGGAAATCTCGTTGTACGAGCTTGCAGCATCGTCCCGGACGGGGTCGTGGTATTTTTCCCCAGCTATGATTATCTTGCACGAGTGACCTCTGTTTGGCAGCACCTGCCAGCTTCCCAGCCGATAATGACTGTTCTGGGTAAATTTAAGACAATATTCCAGGAATCAAAGTCAATTGCTGTCGATGAACTTCTGGAGGAGTATGCTACTGCGGTGGATAGCGGACAAGGGGGTTTGATGTTGTCAGTCGTGGGCGGAAAGCTCTCGGAAGGTATCAACTTCTCTGATAGACTCGGTCGGGCTGTCCTAGCGGTTGGTTTACCATTTCCCAATGCCAACGGGGCAGAGTGGAAGGCCAAGATGGAACATATTGAAGGACTCCGATTTGAATATTGCAAAAGCCAGGGGAAGGGGGACGCAGAATGCAGGGCCGAGGCGAGGAGTGCAAGCAGGGAATACTACGAAAATGCATGCATGAGAGCTGTGAACCAAAGCATTGGGAGAGCAATCAGGCACAGGAACGACTATGCTGCAATATTGATGATTGATAGACGGTTCTCAACAGAGAGGATATCTCGCAAGTTACCCGGATGGATACAAGGGAGCATGAACGACAGTCTGCGAGACTGGACAAAGATAGAGAAAGGCGTTGGCGCCTTTTTCCAGCGGAAGCAATGAACGAAGATTCGATCCATGGATAAGCAACCCCAGCAATCGAGACTCTGAAGGTAAAACATCAGCCTTTGATGCAATTTGTACTGGGGACAATGGGGGTCGGCCCACGAGGAATGAGCACCGGAAGAACTTCGGTTACAGCGTTGCCAAGATTTTTGAACGCTAACCCTAGTTCGGAGGCCGCACATTTTCTTGACCTTCAACCGCACCATCAACGTTTGATCCCAATCACCGACAACTTCAGTCTCGACGCCGCCAAAATGCCCACGAGACTGACGAAGACGAGAAAACAGTGAGTCTCCTGCTCAACTTGCTTATTGCTCTGTCACAATGCGAGTTTCGCCTTGCGCAACGCGACCGAATCCTTCAGCGATCGATCAGAACCGCACCCTCCACACCTTAATTCTGCAATGACCGGGTCGGCCACCGCACGAATCAATCGCACTAAATACACTCCGAATATGCGTCGGAATACCTATCTGAACAGCGAATATTTGATTTCACTCGTAACATCAGTCAAATTGAAGGACCTAGCTAACTGTTGAATTCTTCAGTCGCGGCCATGTGTCCGCTGGTCACGGTCGTATCGGAAAGCACCGAAAGCATCCTGGTGGTCGAGGTCTTGCCGGTGGTCAGCATCATCACAGAACAAATATGGACAAATACCATCCCGGGTACGTCTGCTACTTGGAAAATACGAAGTTGCTGAGGGGTGGTCCTGACGGACAAATCCTTCGCATGCTCGACCTTGCGTCACAGGGATTGCTAACAATGAACTAGTTACTTCGGTAAGGTCGGAATGAGACACTTCCACCTACTCAGAAACCACTATTGGAAACCGAGCATTAACCTCGACAAGGTCAGAACCTATCCGTGATCCACATTGGAAACAAGAATCTAACATTGGCTCACAGCTCTGGTCGTTGGTACCTGAGGAGACTCGCGAAGCGTATGTTTCTGGCAAGAAGACCGATACCGCTCCTGTACTTGACCTCCTCCCCCTCGGATACTCCAAAGTCCTCGGAAAGGGCCGCATTCCCCAGATTCCGATTGTTGTAAGAGCAAGGTGGTTCAGCAAGGAGGCTGAGCGAAAGATCAAGGAAGCGGGCGGTGTTGTTGAGTTGGTTGCATGAGTGGCGTCTCTGTTTATGGTTGATATCGCTCGCTCGAAGGGGAAGGCGAGTTTGCAAGGGTCGAATAACGAGCTGCTCAACGAGTTTACTGCCAAGAAAGCGAGAACGGTCTATTCGACGTGCAGTATCAGATGCGAGACCCATGGAAAGGTATCTCAAAAGAGAAGAGGCGCCGTGGAACTTGAACCCATGGAACTAGAGACAAATGAGTCTTGAGGAGATCGAGATGATTTCCATTCAGCTCAGCTACATCCGTTTCCTCGAGCATCATGACGGTGCAGAAGAAGACAAAATTCATTGCAATGATCTTCATCCTCATGATCAACCTCCAAAAAAGACAAATTGTTCTCCTCAGTGCTTGCTTCGCTCTTTCGCATTTTCAGTCTAGTTCTGTCGAGACGCCGAGAACGCATAGATGCATCGGCAAACTTGCCTATTTCCATATTCCCGTACTCGTGTGAACGCGTAAATTGCGACGCGTCTCCAACGGGTTGTAGTGCGGACATTGTATCTGCGACACAGACTGCGTCCCGGTCAAGCCTGGTGAAAGTACTCGGTACGGAATACTCTCATGGCTACGGATGGTTAACCTCTGAACCTATGATAACACCCTTGGAACTATCATGGACACACTGACCACTCTACTCGATACGCCCAAACGAGCATCTTTGCAGTCCCAAGCAGACATACTTCGCACCGACTTGAAAGAATATGAACGAACCTTTGCTGGAAAGCATGGCGGTCGCAAGCCAGGCAAGGATGACATTAAAGCCGATGCTGTTATTGCAGCGAAGTACAAAGAGTATAGCAGGGTCCGGGATGTGTTAGCGGGGAAACGCAGCCTCGATGTATTGAATACGCCTCGACGACATCAGAGCACTCGAAGGCACGGACGAGCAGACAGTGCAGTCAGTCTGACGCCTCATCGAGGTCGAAAGAGCTTTTCCCCTTCGAGATCACTATGGCACCCGAACGACATCGATCCTTATGACCCACCCCCATCGATATCACCAAGAGTGATACCCAACGCCATTGGACCGACCCCGCGGAGAGATGGGACTGTGTTGGGCATATTCGATTTGCTCTCCAATTCAGGGTCAAAGAAAAGTACTGAAAGTGCTCCGGGGAGCAGAAAGAGGAAGGTCGACGTGCTTTATGATGGTGCTGGCGACGACGGATTGCGACAATTAGCTGTGACCCAGACCCCGAGCCAGAAACTCAGGCAATCCAGCGGTACTGCGAACGTAGGTCTTCAGGCCACTACACCATCGACAAGAATCTCCACTGGCAAACGTCAACATTCTAAAACCCCGATAAGCGAAGGCAGAAAATTCATGCTGGATCATTTCTTCGCAACTCCGAGTGCCGTCAGATTTGCAACCGTGATCGATGGTGATGATGACACCGATGCCCCAACACAGACCAAGACTCCGCTTTGTGATTTTGTCCACACAAATTCTCCTACGAAAGATAATGGTGCTGGGAAAGGAGGGCAAGCGATAGCGAACGTCAACGACTCTACACCTCCCTATTTGAAACGCACATTCTCATTCAAGGACAGACTTTTCGCTGCGTCTGGCGCCTCTACCGGTAAATCGAGCCCAACTTCCACCAGAAGAGGCCCGCGACGGAGCCTGGGATATGTCCAAAGCGCTCCGAAGCCTTTGAGTCAGATCATAGCAGACTTGCAGCAAAGTAAACAGGATACCCAACAACGAAATGACAATGACAATGAAAATGAAGATGACCTCGATGCCTTGAGGGAAATGGAAGCCAGCGAAGTCAATGTCCTTGTCAATGATAGTCAAACGGCAGATGGAATTGCGACATTAGAAGCTACGGGAGAGGAGCCAGTGGCCAAGGTATGGAAGAAAAAGGGCCAAAAGAGGACGACGAGGAGAGTCATTATGAGGCCAGTGAAGATGAAGCCGTCTGCGGCACCAAAGTTTGTCGCCGATGACGAAGATGAGGACGAGGGTGAGGATGTCGGGGATAGAGACAAAGCAGGCGAATTGGCTCCTGCCCTGGAGGATGGCGATGCGGATGTCGAACCTAAGGGCTCGGATATGGAGCATCCCATCACTGAACACGAGGAATCAAACGATGAACAGTTTCACAATCCAGGCGCATGTGACGACGTGGAAGAATTTCTACCCGTAAACGAAAGAGCCCAGAAAGGACTCACCAGCAGGCAAAAAGCAGCATCAAAGTCAAACATCTCGTCCTCATCCGCATCTTCCACCAAGACCTCGAGAAAGCCCCTGGGCTGCAGCAGCAAGGGCCGAGACCAAGAGGCAACAACAAAAGCAGCAACAGCAACAACCCGCACAATCAACCCGAACGCCTACGCGCACATGAACTTCCGGAGCTTAAAGATCAAAAACAAGAATTCTAGGGCGAAGAGAGCCGGAGCAGGCAGGTTCTCGAGAGGGAGGAGATGAAATGAAACCAAGAGAATAAATGAACGAATGGATGAAGCAGGCTGGCCACGAGAAGTTATGGCTGGCAGCGCCCGTAATGCGCTGCGCACCTTTTGTTTGACCTTCGGAATTTCTGTCGGGCTTGCAGTGACAATACGATACGATGGTCATGAGGCGGTCTGCATTAATTTTGTTGTTGGTGGTGGTGGTGGCGGCGGTGGCGGCAGCAAGTTGTCTGGGTAGTCCCTCGAACATTATACATTCAGCAGTGTGCGTTGCAGAGGGCAGAATATCCGAGAACACCTAGTATGCAGATGGAACGAGGAATGACAACTGATCAATCATTGTCTTTGAGCTTCTGAGATCCTCTTGGTAGAGATCAATGTAGTTCCGAGTCTACTAGTGATTCCGCCCCCCTTGTTCTGCGTATGGGTATGTGCACGAACAGAATATACGTGTACACTTGGTATTCCCTGTCAGAGTTCATTTCCTAATCTCACCAGCTCCGACAAAAAGTCCTCTCCACTGACTAACTCGGTACTCCCGTAAACGACCCTCCTCATCCGGGGGGCATTGGCGCCTACTCCTCCACCACCTCCGGTTCCCAGCCCACTTGTCCTTTTGACCCATTCCTGCAGATTGCCGTATTCATCCATACTGCCTCCTCCTACGGTGAAGACAATTGCCTCCGTATACCCCTGTCTTCTTTGGCCAAAGCTGGGATTCATACCTGCGGCTCCCGATTGTCCACTAGGGCCTCCCCTACCGTCTCTCGATGGCGGATTCAGCCCACTTGCCGTCCCAGAAATACCCCTTGCATGTGCACTTCTTGGATCAAAGTATAGATATCCCTCCGTCATCGCGATCGCGCTGGAACTTGCGGCGGGAGGATCCATAATTGACTCAACAATCTTGGTCACCGTGAGGTCCCTATTCGCGGGTAGGAAATTTTTCACCCCGGACACGAGTGCTTCGAGGTTTACGTTGCTAAATGTGTTTCCGAGCGCAGTGGATGAAAGCTTTTCAGTGAAGTTTTTCGAGAGCGAGGAGAGGCCGCCAAACAATGGCGTTTGGGAAGAGGCTTGTTGCTGAGATGGTGCTGTGGAGCTCATCATTGTCCCTCGCGTTTCTAGACGCACGTTTGAGATGTGTTTGATTGCTGTCACTGCATCTCCCACACCAGCAGTTGTGAGTGCAGACTCGAATTCCGAGAGCTCGGATTTAGAGGGCTCCCTGTCGACGCTGAGGTACCAGATAATGAATATCCGCAGCTTGTCCAGCGGGTTGTTACCCTTCTCATCGGATTTAATGAGGGTGAGCATTTGGTCGGCGGTTTGTTTCGTAATATTCTCTTCCAGTTGGAAGAAGTTATCTAGTTGGCGGTCCTTGATGCCCTTGAGCAGTGCAGTGGCAATGTTCATATGCATGTCCAGAGTAGCTTTGCGCTCTCGCAACTCGGGCAGCAGGGTTATTGCTGCTTTCAAGTGGGCTGCGGAGGCTGAACTGTCGTTGAGGTCTTCGATGCTGCTCACCCCTGTTTTCTTGGTGACCTCTTCTGCGTCGGTTTTGTATTTTGTAAGTTCTTTGTCGATGTCTTCGGCAACTTGGGGGAATGGAGCGCTTGCATTGCGCACCCAGAAAAAGTCACTTGCATTAAGGTCGTAGGCTCGCGGTTTTGCAGTCGGGTCTGCCTCGTCTGCCACATCTACCGTGATTCGGTTGAGGTGCATTTTCAAGACATCGTGAACCAAAGACTGGTACGTCCACGAATGGGACAGCATCGGGACCAGGTCAATATTTCGGTCCAGGATTATCAGAACTGGCCGTGAGGGCGCGGAGTATAGATTGGCCGCGGAGCCCTTGGACGAGAATAAGTTATCTTTGGAGTTGAGGACATGATCTCTCAGCTTTCGGTCCAGTTTCGTTGCAATCATTTTGGCCAGTTCTGTCTGAGGACATCGTATAATGGGCACCGATCCCATTGTTACACTGACACTGAACAGCCCGCTCACAATCCTGTCTATAGCTGCATCCTGGACCTCTGCTTCCGCTTTGGCACTATTAAAAGTCCAATACGATTCTTTTCCCATTCCCAGGCTGAACAAATCCGGTTCGGCCACGATAAAATTCAGGTATTGGTCGTAGACTTGGGCGATGGAGTCGGCAGTGTTTGTGGAGGCAATTTGGGCGGCAAAGTCTTCAAGTAAGGGACGGGATATCGATGAGATGAAGTTAACATAGGCTGGAGAGTATAGCCCTCGGGCGAGGTCGGAGCAGATGAGCTGGATATTGACAGGAGTAGGTTCGACGAGGTACAGGACAGGAACATCGGGTATGGGAAAGCGAGGAGAGTTTATGTTTCTGTTGGCGGGTCAGTTGCTATGCCGCTCCAAACAAATTGTTCGCACTGGCACTGACAGATGTATTGTTACTCCTTTGCTCCGCAAGTCATTTACTCGCAAAACACTGCTGATTATGTCTCGTCCAAGGTTGTCAAATACAAGAACCTTCCATATGGGTTCTCCGTCCTCGTTGAGAAGCGAAGTCGCTTGAGGGCTGGTGGTTGCATCGCCATTTGAGCCAGATGAGTGGTCGTGGTTCAGGCTTAGTATGCGTTCAATGGAAGCTGGGGTAGGTGAGATCCATGAACGTCAAGCCAGTCGTCCTCGGGACATTGCTCACCTATCTGACGATCCCGCAGAGTCTGGGTGCGGGCTGCCATGGTCGTCGAGGATGAAGGTCCGCGGATGGTGGGTTGAAGTGAAGCTGTGGAAAGCAGACTTTCATCTTGACCTCGAAATCACCGAGTCTAACGAGGGCAGGCTCTCATGATGTAGAAGCACACATGGACAGGTGTTGCAGGGCACAGATAGACGTTGACTTGCGTTGTTTGTACACAAAGAGCCTCGAAGCATATTGTATTTGGTTGTGCTAATAGTGGCCAACTGGCAGGTGCCACTGGCGCAGCAGTCATGTAGACGCCAAGCCAAAAACGGCTTAGGCCGGCTCTGCAGCGGCGTCTCAATCTCCAAGAGGTTAAACTGGCCTTCAATCTCTCCCTCTCTCTTCCCTCTCACTTCCTCCTCATTCTTTCCTCTCCCTCTCTGTCTCCCACGCAATTTGTCTACGATAACCCTTTTTTCCCGCCTTTTTCACTCTGTAATCTTGTTCCTCGGCACGCTCGGACTGTGCTCTGTAATAAGTGACATTGAATGGTTCTCCATTTCTGCATCACGCTTGGGCTGGAGTCGGGGTGTGTTGCCGTTGGCGTGACTGTGGCGCGTTGGCTCGTCATCTAATATTGATCTGAATCCGCCCAAAACACGTCTTCTGAGCCTCTTTGTGTGTACAGCGCCTCAGAGACGGGTGGATTGAGTGCATTAGTGCTTTGATTCCTTTGACACTGGTTCATACTAGAGAAGATTGTTCAGGGGGGTTTTTGGGCCTCTTGGGGGTGGTGGTGCAGGGAAAAGGGCAAAGGCGCACCCAGGCGGCAAGGCAACCCTCCACAGAAAAACCTCGACCAAAGGGAAAAAAAACAATCAAGTCACCCTGGACTGACAGCGAGCCAAAAAAAAACATTTAACACTAACCTCCTGTGTACCGGAACGGCAATTAAATTCTACGGTCTCTACTGCTTGGATTACACGAAGTACGGAGTACATCAGAAAAGCCTCTCAAAGCCTCTCAAAGTCTCCCTTGGGCTGACCAGGCCTACCACTTCCCATATATGCAGCCGAGCGCGTGGTGTGGCCTGTGAGTGGCACCTTTTCTCGGCATAAGCCAAAGTCCATCCAACGCAGCAACTCTCCCGGGGGCCTCTTTCTTGGGCCTGGTGGTGCCTGTTGAGTGCCCCTTGGTGCCTCTAATTTGCAGATTTGGGTTTGGCCAGTCCGGGCTCTTCCGCACGTGATTAGAACGGATCCCGCTCGGCCCTCCACCACCTTCGGCCACGTGACTGCGCGTCCAGCTTCTGTCCTCTCTTTGATGCCGGTCGATCACCCCCCGTCGCCATGGACCCGTCCACCAACTCTACAATCAACGGTGCGCAGCATGCAAAGGGTCAATCATACGGCGTGCTGGATGGCATCCAGGCCTTTACCGGCTCTGACGGTCTTCAAAATGGAGACGATCTGTCTCGCTTCTTTGACCCCGAGCTGTTCGATTCCACCTATTCTCAACCGTCCCTGTCCATGTCGCAAGATTTTGATCCCAACACAGGCCGACAATCGAGCACGCCAGATATCCAACAGTTCAGTGTCCCCCAGCGGCCTTTCCCTCACCATCAATACTCTCAACCATTCTACGACTCCCGCCAGATGAGCCAACCCAACTATGACCCCAGGTTCTATTCAGGACCCTCTCCCTCGCCCGTGGGCTTTGATGGCGGCTACCATTATCCCTCCCAAATGGGCTACTCCAACCAGCAATTCAATACACAGCAGATGAGCATGCCTCAACGACAAACAACCACGCCTTCGCAAAATTATCCGATCCAACAACAGCAACAACCACAACCACAACCACAACCACAACCACCATCATTCGTCAACATCGGCCCACGCCCTCCGCATTTGTCCCATGGCCAGGTAAGCGACCAAGCCGCCGCCTTGACCGCTAGACATTGTTTACTGACACTGGCCTAGAACGCTGACATGATGCGCTTTGGGACTTTCCAAGACCAAACCCATCAACCAACTAATCATTTCGTGGATCCTTCTATGTTGAATGCAAATCAGATGATGCATACAAGTAGGAAGGTGCACTCCTTTCCGTAAGAGCTTTTCGCTAATGATTTTGGCAGACACCAGCCATGCTTTCCAGACGCAGCAACCCTACATGGCGACTTCTTACTTCAAATCCGGTTCAACCGTGGATCCAAGATCCTTGCAAGGAGGCCAGCCACTACAGCCCATGTCGCTGGTCACATCACAAACACCACGGCCAGGTACTGAGAACGACTCAAGTTATCAACACCAGCTGACGTGGGCAGGGGTAGCCATACAACCAAAGCCGGAGCAAGCTGCGAAACCAACCGCTGACAAAGACCAAGAGGCGCCCAAGAAGAAAAGGGGTCGACCGAGAAAGGACGCCTCTGCGAAGCCTGACGATCACCCCTCAGCATCTGAGACGGATTCTGATGACGACTTGGAGATCGAGGATGACGAGCCACCGGAAGTGACTCCAGCCTTGCTGAGCGTATCCATGCCAACGGATGAACGCGGAAAAGCTCTTTACAATGCAGTGCAAGCCGTTTGGAGCCCGCGCAACAAATCGGTTTCTCCCGAAAAGATACGTGGGGGCATTGCTGGTTTCGGTGATAGCGTACGAAGCTTGAGAGACGCTTGGAAAACTAAAAATGAAAGTCTAAGAAAGGCAGAGCTCCCTAATTCTCCCACAGCCAAAGATGCTCAGAGGTTGAAGGAAGAAGTCGCGCGATATCGCCAAGTCATGGAAAATGTCATGATGAGATCTTTGCTGTATGGTCATCCAGCCATCGTCAAGAGGTATGTGCTTTCCCCCATTCCTCCTGCCGTATTCGTGTTTACGTCCTGCTTCCTCGCTCGCCGTGAGATGGCTTTATCTGGTCCCGACTCCTGTTGTCATAGGCACAAGGCTGTCAGCTTCTTTCGCCGTTGTTGCGATCAGAGCTCATTGTCTTGGGTCCGGAATATGAGGACATTGATATGCTCGTCACTCTTGCATAATGGTTGTATCCATAGCTCTACGTCCATAGATAGTTACAAACCGCTTCTTTTCGTGACATATCTCGTATGCCCTTGGGATGGCCATTGCATAACTATTCCTTGATCCCATCCAATAACGTTCACTAATAATTCCTTCAGATTAGGTGAAAACCAGTTCACAATGTCGGCCTTGCATTCCTTCATGCTCGACAGGTTCAACGCTGCGGATTATGACAGTACTCTCGTCAGCTCTATTCTCAAGGTCAGAGGAAGTCTTCACATTTGGATTCCCCCGCTAACTCTCTTGAACTAGTTTGTTGTCAAATTTGAGACACTAGATTCCGAAATGCTGGAGATGACGAAGCTGTCAAAAATCTTACAGCGTCTAACCAAGAAAGCCATGACCGACATCAAGACGTTGGCACAGACTGTCCTCGATAATGCTGTCGCCGCTACGGCGAAGAAGGCTTCCACCACGAATGACAAGAAGGCTGACAAGCCGGCATCGCCCAAGTCTGTTGGGAGTCCAGCAGATGGGGCACGAAAAGAGGGCGCGACCGGGGTTAAGCGTCTTCGCGAAGGCGACGGGTCTGTTCCACCAGTCCTGAAGAAGGTCGCAAAATTGATTCCACAGTCGTCAAAACCTCTGGCCCTTCAGAACGCCGAACGTAGAAAGGCGCTGGAAGCTGCGCAAGCAGCAAAGGCTGGAGAAAAGACAACTTCTGCTCCACCAGGAACCACGGCCAATCCGGCCACAAAAGGGAAAGTTGCCGTGGCACCTCCTCCAAAATCTTCAATCTTTGCGTCTTTAGCATCAGCCCCTAAGAAGCCAGGCACTTCGAACGCAGAGCGAGCTGCTGCAGCTGCAAAAGAGAGGGCGTCCTCAACGGCATCGCCCTCGCTTGTAGCCGCTCAGCCGGTGAAGAAACCAAATTCGGGCAAGGAGTCGCCACCGCGAAATGGCGGCTCTGCCCCCGTCACAAAGGCCGCGACCGCCTCGTCCTTCATGGGTTTACTAGCTGACATGGAGAAGAAACCCGAGAAGGAGACAAAGAAGGAAGACGAGATTCCGAATGAGACCGAAGAACAAAAGGCCAAACGACTGCGGAAGGAAGCTCGTCGGAAACTTCGCGTTACCTGGAAAGTAGATGCAGAGCTTGTGGAGACTCGCCTGTTCACTCATGATCCTGACGAGGAGCTTGACCAGGGCGACCGTCTGAAACGCGACGCTGGGGATACTGGTCGCGAGGGTGAAGCGCTTAAACTCCACAAGAACTTGGACGATCTTGATGATGAAGAAGATGAAGATTCTTTCGAAGAACTCGAGCCATACGCCGCACCCTCGGAGGTGGACTTTAATTACCTTGAAGATGTTTCACTTGGCGATGATTCACCACACAAGATCAATTCACCCAAGTTCGGCGGGTCTATGAAGCCTGAGAGCCCTAGTAGCGAAGCCCAGAATAAATACGAGCAAGACACACTCATGGCACTTTACACTTCCAAGGCCGATCGTCCGTCAACACCAAAGGAGCCAGATGATTCCAACGAGGATGAAGGCGATTTCGAGCCAGCCGAACCCGAAACTCCTTTCGGGGAGCCCGATGAGAAGACGCGTCAGCGGGAGAAGGAGTATCTGGCGCGACAAGGTCGAACGCAACCTGCCATAGATCTTGCAGCCCAGATGCAGGCCCTATCCGCCTCACAGACATCTCAGCAACAACCAGGAGCCATTCCACCCGAGCTTCAGCGTGCTCTGAGCATGTTTGGTCGGCCAAATCAGCTGAATCAGCCGAGTACTACGCCACAAGCGGCCCCGAGTTCGAATGTGACCCTACAAGCCCTTCTTCAAACAGTGCTCGGACAACAATCGCAAGGCCAAAATCAGCAACCTCAGTATCCAGCCGCCTCCCAGCCTTCGGCTCTCGGACCCAATCTAGGCGCACTTCTCGCCTCGATGCAACAGGGGACCCAAGCGGCTACACCCGCTAATACTCTCCCTCTCAGCATGGGGGGAAACCCTAACCCCTACATCGGTAATTTCGACGACACTTCGCGCAAACATGGCCGGAGCGACTCCAACGACAACGACAATGACCATGGAAGAAAAGGTGGGACCAAGAAGAAAAAAGGGGACTCAAAGCCATACCTTTACAAAACTCAAACGTGCACGTTCTGGGAGCAAGGCAAATGCCTTAAAGGCGATTCTTGCACGTATCGTCACGGCGACGAAGATGAACACTAGCTCAGCTTCATACCAGCTGCAACTCGACCTTATGCCACTTTCCACTGTACACTATCATCATCTTACGGGGCTATGAACTTTTTTTTTATCAAGCGGGTCCGACAATCAACCTCATTTATCCCATGATTTCGCCTTTCAAAAGCAATTTCAGTCTCCAGAGCAGCAGGCAGGCAAGCACGTACGTAGATGACAACATGGCATGGCCGGATTCCCAGGTAGAGATGGACTCTCTCGTGTCGCAAGGGCGCAAATTTACCACGTTTCACGATTAGCATTCAGGGCGGAGTTGCAATTTGGCCAGATACGTGGCTTGAATTCAGGTAAAGGCCTGCTAAAGACTGCTATCAGTCACTTATATGACAATCGTTCTACTCTGCCTTCTTTGGATTCCATCGTAGACAAGCGGGATAAAGCATCAAGAAAATGTAGTCAAGCCACGAGGCTCAGTCGCGAGATGGGCCGGGATGGGATACGAAATACGAGGCATGTGAGAAGTGGGAAAGGAAGCAATGACGTGGGCTCGTTGTTCGCACCTGCGGCCTGCGACCTGCGACCTGCGATTTTCTGGCCACCATCTCCGCCCGCCAGAGCCACGCTGTCGCCATTAGGTCTACGTTTACAGGATTGCCGTCTCTTTCTTGTCTATAGACAATAGATTATCTCAGTTCTTCAACATAGATTCCGCAAGCCGCACAGTGCCTTTTCGATCCAAATCTCCTATCTCTCCGTGGATTTGTAGTCCTCGAGGAACATTCGAGAACACCGAGTGATCTTCTGCACGACGCAGTGACCAAAGCCCTGAATCACAAGAAGAGGATCGCGACAAGCCATACAACGCGGATCACGTTGACATTGCACGTGTAAAGATGTCGACTGCCATTGTTAACGCAGACGACGACGTCCTTGAACCTAGCCTTCAAAACCTTATCGACCAGAAGTCACTACGATGGATTTTCGTGGGCGGAAAAGGTGGCGTGGGCAAGACAACAACCTCTTGTTCGCTGGCGATTCAAATGGCCAAAGCCAGGAAATCAGTGCTCTTGATTTCCACTGACCCCGCTCACAATTTGAGTGATGCCTTCAGTCAGAAATTTGGCAAAGATGCTAGACTGGTCGAGGGTTTTACCAACCTCAGCGCCATGGAAATTGATCCCAATGGCTCCATTAACGACCTTATCAGCGGCGCAGGAGATGAGGCTCAGGATGCCATGGCGGGACTGGGTGGAATGGGCAACATGATGCAAGATCTAGCATTCAGCGTACGCACTTTCTCATGCTATTGTGAGGTTGGCTGCTAATCAAGACAGATTCCCGGCGTTGATGAGGCCATGTCCTTTGCCGAAGTGCTCAAACAGGTCAAATCGCTCTCATATGAAGTCATCATCTTCGATACGGCTCCCACTGGCCACACTCTTCGCTTCCTACAGTTCCCCACAGTCCTGGAAAAGGCCCTGGCAAAGATCTCTCAGCTCTCCACACAGTTCGGCCCAATGCTGCAATCAGTCATTGGAGCAAGAGGAGGTCTTCCTGGGGGGGCAACGCTTGAGGAGCTGACGCAGAAGCTCGAATCACTTCGAGAGACCATTGCCGAAGTCAACGGCCAGTTCAAGAATCCTGACATGACCACCTTCGTCTGCGTCTGCATCGCCGAGTTCCTTTCACTGTACGAGACCGAGAGAATGATTCAAGAGCTGGCCAATTACCATATTGATACGCATTGTATCGTGGTCAACCAATTGTTGTTCCCGGAGAAAGGCAATGAATGCAAGCAGTGTAACGCCAGGAGGAAGATGCAGAAGAAATATCTCGACCAGATCGAAGAGCTGTATGACGAGTTCAACGTTGTCAAGATGCCTCTCCTCACAGACGAGGTTCGCGGGGTGGACAGTTTGAAGAGGTGAGCTTCTCGCATATTGATGCCTTGATCTCAACTACTGACGTCGCCGAATAGTTTCTCGGAAATGCTTATTCATCCGTATCAACCACCATCATGAGATCCAACCGGATTGATAGTGATCATAGACACAAAGTCCAGTTCCAACCTCTCCGCTTAGGGGGCCAAATTAAAAGTTCAATGTACGGCGCTTTGACGCGGACCAAATGCCAAATATTGATTGAACGCCCAGACTTCTGATACGAGCCCAACTCGGTAGATGCTTCCTTTTCTGACTTATCGCCTGGAGGCCCCAGATGTGTTTGAAATGTCTTGGGGTGGTCGACCCTGATCTAATGGGAGCACCAACCCGCCACCCTAGTCATGATCTGCAACGGCTACTTGTCGTGCGCCTGACGTACTCTGCATGCTTTGGCCTCGCAGGCTTGTGGGCAATCAGGGAACCGGTTTGTCAAATGTTATTCAATCAGTCGACATGCAATTGGGCCCGTGAAAGCCGCGGTTCTGCTCGGGCGAAGTTCGTGGCCAGGGTTCAATTCGCCGACGTGTGCCTTACTCATCGCATCAGGCCCACGAGCTTATCGTCGGGCATGGCTCCCCAGGGTTGCTTTTCGGCTCTGGCTCTCCGAACGTCGACTTAAGGCATGGCCTGCGGTGGCTAAGCCTCTGAGAACAGAAGCTGCACTAAGGCTCCGTCTCACACCAATCAACCGCTCCGTCGTCCCGTTTGCGCATCCTGGTGTGGTTCTACAAACCCGAATAAGTTTATGGTTCAACCAGCCTTGTCCACACGTTCATCGCTCAATGTATGGGGTACGGGGGCTTGCTGAGCTCGTAATCTGAAAATGCGTCTCTGGCCACCTTCCCAGCTTAAAAAATGCGAGTCCGCCGCCTCGACAGATGCCCATTTCTTGGGGGGAAGATGTATCGGCCGTACCTTGGCCAGATGCGACATTTACATGCTTCACGGCTATACTGACCTCTTCCAAATTCATGAACTCGGTATCGCGCTTCCCGAAGTGCAGTTTTATCCCAATCTTTGTGCCCGTATGCTTCATTGATCAACGTTGAATATCGGAATGAAGCACATGCATCCTTCTCGTTGACAGGATTTATAACCGTCCTCTTTCCCAGAATGTACAGCCCTCAGGGGGTGGCAAGCTCACCAATCCATCATTTTGGGGCGAATGCCGAAGAGCTCAAGGACGACCCACACGCAACATCTTGCAGTCTGAGGTGCAGATCACGCCGCTCCAACCTTCATCAACCGAAAGCTGCGATGGCGGAACAGGACCCGGGCGGGCGCCAGCCAGATCAACGACCGCCAGCATATACCGGCCCTTTCCTATTTGTCAACAAGAATGCCACAAATCTTAGGTCCAGGCAGAGAGAAGAGGTATTTGCTGTTCGAAGCCATGCCATGCAAATTGCAAGGCGATCAAGAAAGCCGTCTTCCCAGGCGAAATTGTCGGAACGTGGAAGCCAGGCTCAGTCAGAGCCAACGAGCTCCGAAAGTCCAGCAGCCCAAACGGGTGCTCCAAGTCCGACGGCCGAGCCCATTCCATCCATCCAAGATATCCTTGAGCAGCAGGCCAGAGGGGTTCTCCAATACCAGCAAAAGGAGGCTCAGAGACGCCAACCAGAGCAGTCCCGAAGGCAATCAGCGACCCACGAATCCCCAGCCTTGTCCCCAAGATCTTCGACTTTCCCACTGTCGACTTCCACCCTTCTCCCTGCTGAATATGCCGCGTCTTTGGCGCAACTTAGCTTAGCCGCGTCCCCTATTCCCTTGGTTTCAAGCGGCGCTTCAGACCCGAGTGTCGCTGCACAATTGTCCCCCGACACGTTTTTCAACTCCGTCCTGCAGTTCTGGCGACTATGCTACATGTCAAACTTTTGGCCAGCACATATCTACTCCAGCCCGTCGCACAGCGCAGTCCAATCCACCGACGGCTGGATCCGGAATATGGTTATCAACAATCCGGCTATGCTGCACGGACTTTTCTCCGGCGCCCTTAGCTATATCACAAATTACCTTCCCCGGACAGAGAACACTCCTATGCTGTGGGCTAGAGCCATCCACCATCACGGAAAATGTCTCGAAGAGACCCGGGCTCAGCTCGGTCGACCAGGGATCAGCACTGAAGAAGCATTGAGTCTGATCAACGGAATGACGACATTCAGTTTCCACTGCCAGGATCTGGAGAGTTGTCAAGTTCACCGTGCGGCTTCAATGCGCCTTCTTCAAAGCATTGAAGGAGGCCTCGAATCGGTGCATCCAGTGCTAAAGTACCTTCTGATACTTTGCGACTCGCTTACCACGAGCCATGTTGCAAAGCGGCCATCTATGGACGTCGAGTCTTGGGCACCTAAGCCCTGGTCAGAAGAACCGTCTTTGCGACCATTTGATCATTTGTTCAGCTTCGATGACCAGGTATCTGAGGAGACGGACATTGCCATATTTCTCCTTGCCGAGCGCGGCGAAGAAAGCGACTATACGCAGCATCTGCTGGAGCTGATTAACTGGCATCGCGAAGCATTGGCAGCAAATGATCTCGCTTTCGTCCTGTCAGACACATCGGGCTCCCCAGGCATTGCCGAATCTGTTGATGAAGGCGGACAAGACCGTGCCGATCCGATATACACATGGCTGTCGTTACGTCAGTACGGCTTGATCTGTCTCTCGTCGGATATGTACCTGGACATTATAGAAACGGAGGTCCATGGGCGGTCATTGTTGTCGCAGATGCTTTGTGTCTTCCACTCTGGTATTGTGCTTGCCACCAACTACATGTTTCAGTTCATCATGCGATACAGCATGAATGCTCCAAGCATGGCATACATACCGTATCATCACCTGCGCAACAGATTGGACTTGCTTATGGCGCTCATGAGCCAGCATAGACGTCTGCAAGTGGCTGCAGCGGGAAAGAGCCGTGGTGGAAGAGGGCAAACTAACCCAATTCCAACGGACGCCCTTCTTTTCCTCTTCTTCGCTGGCGCAGTTGTCGAGGAATCCGATGGTCCCAATCGAGTACAAGTCCCACACCACATCACAAGGGCAGGCGTAATATCCTCACCTTCAGTCGAGCACCCGGGAGATCTTATCAATGAACGCTGGTTCAGCGTTCACTTCGCGATGGTCCTGCAACGCTTGAACATCGAAGCTTGGGAAAATGTCAGACAGGTGCTAAAGAGGTTTATCTATGTCGAGAGGGTACTGGATCGGTTTTTGCAGGTGCTTGTGACGAGGAAGCTCGAGTTTCTGGCAGCTCTGATTGCTGGGGTGCCGGATCATGCACCCGCTGGTGGCTCTGGCGGCGCTGGCAGTGCTAGCTTTTTGGGAGGATCGGGAGTGGCGGTTTCAACCAGGCAAGAAACGAGTTCTTCTTCTCTACCACCGCCACCGCCGTCTCGTCAATCTTCCCTTCAGATCCTCGGACAACATCAAACACTACTTCATCAAGCGGGTATGTCGATACCTGTGGAATTTCCCGTATCACCCTCAAGTCCAGGTCTAGAAGAGATGCAGGATCCACTGCCGTTATTGGGCCCCACACCAGTTTCTCTCTCGGCCGCCGTGCCCAGCGCAGCAGCTGAGTGGTGGCAAGACATGGGTTACGGAATGGGCGGCGTAGAAGACTTCCCAATGGATTTGGATATGCATTTGAGTATGGGGACGGGGTTGGATGCGTTATCTGACGTGCATATGGCGGGCGAGAATCTGGGTGGGCATGAAGAAAGGCACGGAAAGGAAAGGCGAGAGCAAGATTGAGGAGACCATGAGGCAGTATGGGTAGAACCAGGCCAGGAGGGAGTACAATCCCGGGATTTTGTCGTCTCCATCAGGGAGCGAGGAATCGAATGCGGTCAGGTTTGATAGAGAAGGAAGATTTTCAAATAGGCTTGGGTTTGTGTGCTGACGCGCGGTGGAATATTCAGAAACTTCCCAGGGACAAGACCACCATAGCCATTACCCACATTGCCGAGAGCAGAGCCTTTCAGGTACCTCCTTGTATGTAAGTTGCATGCTGTCCAAGTCGATCATTTCCCTGCCTTGAAAGAGGGAAAGGGCGTCAACGAGGATCACGTGCAAGGCTTTGATCATGTGATCGGTGGCTTTTGGTCAATGACATGGCACGTGATGGTGGTGATGATGATTTCTGTCACTTTCTTCACCACCCGCACCCAACTGCGCCATCGTCTTTTCTGTCCTTCGTTGCGAGACAGCAACAGCAACAGGTCAAATCAAGACTCTGCACCATCCTGCCGATCAGAAGCTTAACTCTCCGTTAACGGCCCTAGCTGGCCCAGCTGGCCTCGGGGTGGGTGACGTTTCGTCATGTTTCCCCCGGGGCCAAAGAGTCTTGTTGCAGCATCGTTTACCGTGCCGAGTTCCGTCCAAGTCGATGCAATCCTTCGACCGGGGTGGCGGCAACTGAAGTGACATTTTTCTCCATGGTTCTTTTGTTCTTTCACACTGGCCGGGGTTTGCGATGCTTCGTCCACTCAATGGCCAGTTATGCGCGCATCGGCCGGCCATTATGCATAAAGTCCGCTTCTTTTCTCTAGACTGCTTCCCTGTGGACGACGAGGTGGGATAAATGATTTAAAATCCTCGGCTGCTTTCCACCCCCTCATTCTTCATGTTCCTTCTGTGCCGCGATCCCGTTTTAGACTCTGGCTTTGCTGCATGACGATAACAAGCGCAGACAACTCGGACATGGCTACAGACCTAAACAAGACACGGACAGCTCCCGAAAATCGGTCCAGACGGCTCTCGCGTGCCTCTTTAAGGCGAGCACGATCGACTCCCGAAGATGATTCCCACCGGTTGTTTTCGCCTCAATTCATGGATGACCATGGCGCCCACCATTACCATGTCGCTGCGACACCCGATGAGGATTGTTTCGGTCTGCGCGACGGCGATGAGGGCCCAATAATTGAGGAGGATGCCATATCCGCGAGCAGCAGCGCTGGGGAGTCCCAGGAGGAAGTCAGGTTTGGTGTGGTCAATAGTCGTGACGTCGAAGCAGGAGTCCATCTGCCAGAATTGAAATCTGAGAAATCTACTCGATCATTGAAGGATCCCCACCTGGTAAGTTTGCTATTTCATCTCTTCTCATATGGACCACGGCAAGTGCTGAATCCGGTTTGTATTAGGTCACTTGGGAGGGCTCCGACGACCCAGAAAATCCCAAGAATTGGACATACAGGAAGAAATGGGCGGCAACTCTCATTGTATCATCTTTTACATTCATTTCACCCGTGTCATCGTCTATGGTCGCACCGGCTCTTGATAAAATAGGCCAAGATCTCGGCATTACCCAGGATATCGAGAAATCGTTAACCCTTTCTATCTTCGTCCTTGCGTACGCCATCGGACCATTGTTTTTGGGCCCTTTATCTGAGATGTACGGCCGAGTTATTGTTTTGCAACTGTCGAATCTGTTCTACCTCGCTTGGAATATCGGGTGCGGCTTTGCTCAAACCCAAGGCCAACTCATCGCATTTCGGTTTCTGAGTGGGCTAGGCGGCAGTGCACCTTTGGCGTTGGGTGGAGGAGTACTGAGTGACTGCTGGCGTGCAGAAGAACGAGGCAAGTCTATCAGTATCTACTCTCTCGCACCCCTTCTAGGTCCTGCAGTTGGACCTATTGCTGGTGGGTTTATTGCTCTAAAGGCAGGTTTAACGGTTATGCGTGTGATTACTTAGATGCTGACGTTGGATAGACAACCTGGAGATGGTGCTTTTGGGCGACTTCGATCATGGACGCTGGGATTCAAGTCCTTGGCATTATATATCTACGAGAAACCTACGCCCCAAAGCTATTGAATGACAAAGCGAAGAAACTCCGGAAAGAGACAGGCAATCCAAACTACCATACTGAGTGGGATCATCCCGACAGAACACTGGGGAAGGTCCTTCGCACGAGTCTCGTCCGCCCATTTCGTCTTCTGGGCACCCAACCTATTATTCAGGCTCTAGCCATGTATATGTAAGTTTTTGCACATTGGCTCATGATATCCGCTTACAATATTCAAGGGCGTACCTCTACGGCCTTATGTACCTGGTCCTATCCACTTTTCCCGAAGTCTGGCAGGGAATCTACCAAGAATCGGTCGGTATTGGTGGCCTAAATTACATCTCTCTAGGGGTGGGGTTTTTTCTGGGCACACAGATCTGCGCTCCGATCAACGACCGTATTTACCGCAGACTGAAGTCACGAAACAACGACGTTGGAAGACCTGAATTTCGTGTACCGCTTATGCTTCCGGGAGCTGTCCTCGTGCCGATCGGTCTTTTTATCTACGGCTGGGGCGCAAGAGCGAGTGTGCACTGGATTGTTCCTAATATTGGAGCTGCAATCTTTGCTGCAGGCACGATTATGGGCTTTCAATGCACACAGACTTACATTGTGGATGCATACTCACGTTTTGCAGCCTCGGCTGTCGCTTCTGCTGTGGTGCTGAGAAGTCTGGCAGGGTTTGGATTGTACGCGATTCCCTTTTCACCGTGTGGCCTTGACTTTGAATTGGAACTAACCATTATGTGCTTCCGCAATAGTCCACTCTTTGCCCCATATATGTACCAGGCTCTTGGACAAGACTGGGGAAACTCATTGCTTGCGTTCATTGCCATCGGGCTTGGCCTTCCGGCACCAGTCCTACTTTGGAAGTATGGCGAGGCCCTGCGGGAGAAGAGTACCTATGCTGCAGGATGAGGTGCAATTGGAACGGCATCATTTACAGATACTGGAGGACAAGCTGCTCATCTACTGCGGGAGAAAGACGACAAGACCCCAATCCTGACTGCTCCCGTGTTCCCTTCGAGAACGTCAGCGACCAACGATGTGACTTAGTCCCGCCCGTGTTTGCTGACCACAATTTCGAGTTGTTCTTGGACGACAAGAACCTTGCATGTTGCCGACAGATCCGCGATATTTGAGCAGCTCATCGGTCAAGGGAAACAGGTGACGTCAGCATACAAGGGCTGTTAGCCTTGTGGAACATAATCAGAAAAGTCAAAGCCTCGGCCAGGCCGAAAGGCAGCATTGTTTACATAGTTGCAGACGCCGGAAACATGGCAGTCATTCGCCAAGTTATGTGTGTGGCCTTTGTGGCGATGCGGGAAATGGTCTTCCGGGACTCGATGGCCTGCATCTCATCAGGCTTGACCACTTTACAGTTGGATGTTCCTCGGTGCATCAGCGCAGGGCGACAAGTCCTAAGGTCTATACCTACGGATTCATCGCCTACAAACACAGGCGCGATATTCCTGCAGAGCGAGTCATTTTTTGAGGGTGATTCTTCTCCCGACGGCCTTGCCTACCCTTCCAGCCGAGCCTCCGCTTTGCCTACCGGCGGAGGGTGCTCTGTTTGGGAATCGAGAGTTTGAAAATCCGTATATAAGTGGAAATGAACAAGTGAATAACTCTGTTGCAGCTTCCATTTGTGCTGCTAGACTAGTTGTGGCCCGAGACGGTGCTCCTTGACTTGCTTGTGTGGATAGACCGGCCGATCGTAACATATTATTATAGACATTGATCAGTTTGCTTTTCTTTTCCCTTGGGCCATCCCTAGTCCTTTCCCTTCCCCTTCCCCTTGCGTCTGCCCTCCCTTCCTGTTTCGTCTCGTTTTGATTCGTTTCTTCAAAAAAACAAAAACAAAAATACATATGATCATATAGATTTATATACCTCGTGACGTGGATACTCATATCCGTATTGTTATCCAATCCCAGAGATCTGTCTGCCTTTCTGCCTTTCTGTCTTTCTGTCTGCATGCCCGTCTACATGACGACTTTCAGTCGAGAGCTGTCGAGCGGTGGGGACTCCGACTCCGCACGCGGTCGAGCCCAGCGTCGTCTGAGGAGGGGACCTGGAGGGCGACGCGATTCGTCATCGTTATCGTCGAGTCGGCCTCTTTGGCGTCCGCGTGTTTCGCGTGGTTGTTGATATTCCCGTTCCCGCGTTTGTCAATGTCCTCACGGCTATGCTGATGGTCCTGTTCGGAATCCTCTGAGTCCGCGAGACTCGCTAGCTCAACGACCTCGTCGTGTCCGTGCCCGCGAGCGCTCACGGGCACTACCACGCCATTCGCCAATCGTGGTGTCCTTTCCCTTTCCACAATCTCTTCGTCGGATCCAGAATTATTCTTCGGCTTCCTCTCGTACCCTTCCAGCTGGACGTTGACGAACAGAGCGTACAAGCCGAAATCGTAGACCAGACGACAAACCCCCGCGGCGACAAAGGCCACGCCGAAGCGGTCCCCCTCGGCCAGAACGCCCGTGACGCTCGGCCCCGTCATGGCGGCCAGGTTGCGCAACATGCTCGTGATGCCCATGACGGCCGTCCTTTCCTCGGGGCGCACGACGGCGGCGATGAAGGCCGAGCGCGGCGCCTGGTCCATGTTGTTCAGCGCGGTGCGCAGCAGCAGCAGGCCCGCGGTGAGCCAGAGGTAAGGAGGGAAGGGGAAGAAGAGCACGGCGGCGCTCGAGGGCACGTGCGTGAACACCATGGTGTTGATCAGGCCGATCTTGCGTGCCAGGGGGCCCGCGAAGACGGCCCCCACGGCCCCCAAAAAGTACGACAGCGACGTCACATCGCCGAGCGTCGACTTGGTCGGGTGGAACTTGATGTCCATGTAGTAGTTTGTCAGCGAGTACGGCACCATCCCGTCCGCGAGCGAATCGATCGCCAGCAGGAACCACAGCTTGTACATGGTCCGCCGCGTCGGTTTGGAGATCTCGGCAAAAACGCTCGAGAGCCAGGATTTGGTCCTTGATGTCCACCGTTCTGAGGACGGCGTTGGGGGGTGGGAGTGCGAGTGGGATTGGTATTGTAGTGCTGGTGTAGTTGATGATGATGTTGCTCTTGTTGCTGCTTCGATATCGTTCACGCCGATCCCATTCGGTCTTGAATGCTCGACGTCATGCTCGCTTTCTTCATCTCGATCTTCCTGCGGAACGCTCGCGTATACCTCGTCCCCCTTACCATCCGGTTTCAACTCGCAAGCTTCCGTCAACAGGACGACAAGCAAAACATTCACGATACCCATGACCGCATAGATCCAGAACAGGGCGTGGTAGGCCTCAACCTCTGTCCATCCCGGGCGTGCTTGCAGGAAATGAATGATCCGCCCCGAAGTCTCACTGCCGATACTCGAACCAAGCGTCGACGTCGTGACATACCAAGCTAGAACATCCGCTCGGTTCGAGGGTGTTGTTAGCTGTGACAGGACAGACCTGGATAGATTGAAGCGCGTTAGCGTCAGCTTTTCCGGATCTTCCAACATATCATTGCCACAGAGGACATTGAATCCCATGTGCCGGACAAGGAGACGCAAAACTCACTCCTCTATACTCCTAAACGGGCCGAAGTCTCCTCCCGTGACACTTATCACCCCTAAGATAGCCGCGCCCAGCAAGATCCAGAAATTCTCGAATACTGCAAACACGCACCCGCTCAGAATCATGAGGACCGACCCGGCCATTAACACGCGGCGGCGACCCACCCGATCAGCGATCAATGTCAAGAAGGTACCCAGGAACACATCGCCGAGTAAAGTGAGGGTCATGAAGATGCCGATTTGGTGGTCGGAGTAGTTCAAGGCCGAGAAGAAGATAGCTGTGGAAAACAACCCCGTGAGAAAACAGGGTATGTTGGAGGAACAGTTATGGCTCGGCCCGGACTTGGATATATGCACACGGTCACCCTCTAACGTTACCTGTGGACGTAGGGAAGCATGTACACACATTCGCAAGCCACAAGGCGCGAGACATTTTCTAACCAATGTCTTGAAAACTTACCCAATATTAGCGAATTGGTACCATAAGCAAACATCCGGCACGACCGTGCCAGGATAATGAGCCACGCATTTCTCCCAGTCTCGTGGATGGAGACGATTCCGAATTCATGATAGAACCATTTCAGGGGCCGGAGGATGACAGACATGACCTCGGGGCGGCCTTGGCTTTTCGGGTGTTATACAAACACCACACACTCTCACTCACACACCAGCCTCAAGCGGAGGGATTGCGAGACAAGAGAGAGGATGAAAGAATTAAGTTGCGTAAGCAGCTTTGAGGGCAACCTCGATGGTTGGGGAATGACGCCCTCTCTGGGGATCCTGGCCGACACCGCCTATTGCGCCTACCGATATCGGCTGTATAAACATGGGTGTAGACCACCAATTGGTATATATTAGACGGGGCGATCGTCTCCACCCGTGTCGCAACGAGCCGAAACGCTGATTGCTCGGTCACTGCCGGAGCGAGACTCAGGGGTTTCCAGGAATTCGCAGCCTTGCATCTGAAGGACAAGCTACATATACGGAGTACACTCTTGGAATCAAACCCATACCGCTCGCACATGGCACATAGCTAAAAGGATGGAACAGTGCATCAGCGTAATACTCTTACCTTGTCTCTGTAAGGGATCTTCGAATTGACAAGAGACCAACCACAGGAACGAGAACGATCTCGCTATTTGCGGCCGGTCCCCCCACTTCTCCAAGCACTAGACATCGACAATTTAGCAGTAATGTTGTGGATAGGCTGTGCATTCCCACTGTGGACAGCCCTAGAGCCTGGAAGGACATCTAGAGCTGGATATCTGAGATATCGTCGTGCCCGTTTGTAATGCAAAAGAGGTGGCTATACGATTTGGTGAACAAGTCCTTCCAGGACCGCTGCCTTTTCACCGTATCTGTACATTGAGGCGAACCCGTTATACTGGAGAATGAAAAGAAGATACAAAGTTTGGTAGATACAGTAGAGCAAGCGATTCCGAATATTGATGGAGTCGGCAGCTTCGTAGAAGGCAAAGGCGACCGCAACTATTTGGCTCAGGGCTTGTCGTTCTGAATCGAGAAAGTGGTAGCTGGAGTTTCTAGTTCAATGGTAACTCTGCTAAAGCTCAAAATCCGCGGCAATAATCTGGCTCTTTGTCAGAATACTTGGAAGGTGCATCAGTGCCGCATGAAAGATATTCCAACCATGACTCCATTTCGAACTTTTCGCGCGCGTAATTTCGTCAGGACGAAATTTAGACTCAGAGGCGGTACAGGTTATCGATGTCTCTGCTCAGGGAGTAACATCCGCAATTCAGAAGGGCTCCCAGGGGTGTCGTTGGCCCATCCTATCCTTCTCTCCGCTGTCGTGGCTGGGAAAGGTAGCTGGTTGATGTTGATCAACACCACGACGCCCTCAATTCAAATGCTGGCAAGACCTGGCTGGCTGATCGTCCCGCTTCCCCGGTTTGACAAGACCACAGAAGTGGACTTGAGGACGTCGTTGGCGTAGAAATGAGCCTAGGACGACGACCGGAGATCACTTCTCCAACCCTTGTCCATAGGTTTTCCTTCGATGTCACGCGCACAGAAAATGAATTAGTAAAGGGACATGGTGTACAAATACGCCACGTCATCGCTTCTTCTCCAAGAAGAGAGAGACTGTACCAGACGCAATCTCGGAATTCGAGTGTCCTTGCTCTGCAAATACTTAAAATCAGGTAGATGCTACAATTGATGATGACAGATATGCGTACCTCCTTTATATTTCGAGAAGGCGGGACACTCCAATCTCAGCGAGGCGGACCCTCGGTTACACCAGGTTGTTCGAAGGGTTCGTTTCAGGAACGCACTTCATCTTCCTGCCCAGTTGAGATACAAGGAAGCGTCGGCGCGCGAGTCGGGCTGTGTGTCCGCCAATAACGTGGAGATCACCAGCTTAGTAGTTGGTAGGAGACCACCTTCTTGAGTAAGTCCTTGCGTGTCGAGGAATTATGTTGGTCTAGTCGTATGATTTGACCTTGTGGTGTTCGGCGATAGGGCAACAATGCTGCTGAGATGCAACCATAACGAGTAAGCCGGGCTCGACGTCATGCTCGTGACAACAGGCATGAAAGGCGGTGGCCCCCCCACCAAAAGTGCATTTGCGCATGAAGTTTCCCATATGACGTTGCAATCGAATGGCCGGTCGGGGAGACTAAGTGACGGATCAGATCTGTACAACTGGCTTCCAAGGCGTCTATTTCTGTGCGTCTTCCGCAAATCTTTTCATATCCTATATTCAGACACTCCTTTTCGAGTCTGTCCGGTCGATCTCGTTTCATGCTCTGAAATTGGAAGCCGGTTTACGGTATTTGGAAGAGGCTAAAGCAAGGCACACATGAAGCAAGGTCAGCCTTGTCAGCTGTAACAACGCCATTTTAAGTGGGCTGTGCGCACATTAGACAGACACTGCCAATGGAAGCTTCTGCCAATCGCATGGTCGAGTGACAGGTTCGCTAGAGATCGACCACCGCCAGAATCAATAGTCGCACGACAGCCACAAGAAAGCCACATCACACCTCGTCAGATTGGTCTCTTTCACGGAGCCGGTCCGGGAACTTGTATTCCGACCCTCATAGAGTTCGAGGCATAAACACAGCATCAGTTGTATCTTCTATCGCATAAGAACCAACGAGTCTGAGCAAGGGAGGCGTAACACAGAACTACCCAAAAAAGGGGCGACAGGACGACATCCGAGCCCCACTCATGCCAGATGAGAGTTCCCCGGTGAACATGATTCGTACGTCGCAATGCGTCAAGGAAATGTACCTCGCAGGTCGAATAGGACAGCAGAGACAGAGACGCGGCAACGGGTTGTGCGCGACTGGGCGGCTAAGTTCGCGTTCTGGTGAGTGTTCCAGCTAGAGCCCGAACTCTTTACGTGCTGTGATCATACCGGGTATTGAGGTTCTTAAGCAGGGTACAGAGCAGTCAATGGGAAAAGTGGCTTTGGCATCTTCCGAAAGCATGAGGTTGCATTGTAGTCGTAAGTTTATCCCGCCCACAAGATTCCTGTTGAAGGTTTTCAAATCGATCGGGAATACATCTAAACCTTTCAGACATATAGCGCGGACACTTCAAACTTTAACATCAAGTTCTTGACACCCTTTGACCATCATCCCGACCATGCACCACATTTTGTCTGTTGTGGCCCCTGGACCGCGCAGTGTCGTCTTCAACCCTGCGGCCTGATGACGAGCATCTGGGGCAAGGGGCTTGGACGTGACCGAATCCGTTGCAAGTTTTGCATTGGGCCCCGCTACAACGAATGTCAGCTCCCAGACGTGACACATGCTTGTCGAGGTTGCCTAGGTATTGAGGCCACGTTGGGGACGTCTAAAAGACGCATACCGGGGAGGGTGTCCTGCGCAAGTACGGCAGGTGTTCCAGACCTTGGGATGATCGCACATGATGAGATTGAGGAGATGTTTGTTGTTAATAGGAAAGTCGGAATAGCGGTAAGATTCTTAGTGTAGGGTCAGCGCATGCGGCTAGCAGTGACTGACAATGTCGAACGTTTTGAAAAGAACCGGAGGAGGAGTTGAGCGAGATGGTTCGAGGCACGGCGAGCCCGTTTTATATGCAATCTTGAGCCTTGCATCTAGGACCTTTCCGGCAGCTCCAAGCACCGTGCCAAATACAGATAGGAGAGGCAAGTCGAAGTGTTCGTATCTTCTGTACTACTGTGACGGAACGCTGGGTAGACTCCGCCTCCCATCTTCCGCTTGATCAGGTGTCCGCCTCAAGGCCGGAACAAGGGCGGTACGACTTCCCATCCCGTAACACCGGAACCGGTAAACTGTGGGAACAACAGCCGATCGCATGAGGCGAGGACTGTAAAATGGTGATTTTCATATCTGCTGAAGGAGGTACGTTTCGAGGCAAATAGTCTCACCAGCGTGACGTTGCAGTGCAAGGTAACCCTGGTGAGAAGTCGCTTGGGAAACTAGAGGTTAGGACTCTTTCAGTAAAGATGAGTGCCAGTTCGAGAAGTCGGTGCCAAAGTTGCTTGCTTGCGACAAGAGATGTGAACATGACAGGATGGCGTCAGCTCCCACGTGCCATAGGAAAGGTAAAGTCACACGTTCGCCGATGACGGCGCCAAGTTGCTCGGCCACAGAAAAATGCGTCCATGGCTTCTCTGGGCTTCTCTGTGGAGTGATGGAAGGTCGATGAAATAGTGGGAAACAGAAACTTGTCTTGTTGAGAAATATTCGACCCGTCACAACCGCGTGAACATTCTGCTGACCATTCGACGACAATGTCGAAGTGGCACGAGAAGGGGCCTTCTTTAGAGAAAGTAGCAAGAAAGATTGGTACATTCCCGAAGCAGTATTACTGGCTTCGTGTAGCAGTACGAAAGGGTCACTTGAGTTGGTTGAGGGGGGAGATCGGCGAGCTTAGAGAATAGGATTGGAGTCGCCTCGCTAAGCAAGACTCGTTCGTGTCACGTTCGAAACTTCAACTTTCCGACTAGCCTGACCGTATTGAGCTTCGTGCATGGCGGTCGACACCATCTTGAATTGTTGCAGGCTGAGGAGGAAATATCTGTGTAAATTCCAAGCGGGCTTTGGTGGTGAGGCACTGTTTGAAGGAGCTGGCCGAGGCGTATGATAGTTTCGAAAGAAAGCCGATTCGGCCGCTTCTAGCCGTCAATGGCACGTCCCATGGCAGGTCGACGAACCCACCGACGGCCAATGACGGCAGTGTAAGCGAGCATGGCTTTTGTAGAGCAGAGCAAGATTTGACGGTAATCTTAGAAGTACTACCTCCGTACCTGCAAAATACTTAGTCTGCGGGTCAAGGTACATTTCTGGCTCTGGGAGGAAGGAGGGAAGGCAGACATAGAGGCGAGACCGGTCTCTTTCCCAAGCAGGAATCGACCGAGGAGACTGGGCGTATCTGATGACAACGAAGACAGCCCAAGGTTGAAAGCCAGCACTCCGTTGTCGGGAACCCACCTTCTCATTAGCCAAGGCTCCCAATAATGCACTGCCTGCGGAAAATGGGCAGCATCCGCTCTCTGCTGTGAATTTGCATCGTGGCGGATTTGCGCAGGAGCAGGATATAACCTGGGCATGAAAGTCGAGGTGACCAAAGATCTTTCGACCAAAAGGGATCA